CTCCCAGTCCCAATTTCCCCTTTTTTCTTGATAACCCACAAATATCCTCTGTCACCCTTTTACACCCAACTTCATTTAACAGAATTATTCCCATTCCAATCCAAGGATGCCACCTGTCCTTCCAAGGATGCCACTTGTCCCCTGCTTGTTGAGTAGAAAGTACCATTTATCCCTTCTGTCCAAGCTTTTTCCTGTTGAAAACATGCACCAGCGGGGTCTCATCATTACCTTCCCCAAGGAGAGCCACCTGTCCCCAAGGTGGAAGAAAGGAAATTGGCTATCAATGGAGGTGAAATCCTCCCATGTGTTCTCATAGTGGGTAAGCCCTTCCCTTTGATTAAGACTTCCAAAGTACCATTCAACAGTTTGCGCTTACGTAGAACCTCTTCAGGTTCGACTTGCAATACCAAATCCTCGTCAAGTGTTGCAGGAAAGGGTTGTGCAGTGGGCGGCGGGTACTTTGTTTTCTTGAGTTGTGACACATGGAAAACATCATGGATGCATGCCGAAGGGGGTAGATCCAAACGATAAGCCACTAATCCAATCTTTTTCTGTAACTTCAAAAGGGCCATAGAAGCGGGGGCTGAGTTTCTCATTGTATCGACGAGCCAAGGAACAAAGTCGGTAGGGTTGCAACTTAAGGTAAACCGAATCTCCCACTTCTAACTGAACTTCTCGTCTCTTTGCATCGACATAGTGTTTCATTTGGGTTTGGGCTTTGAGGAGATTATCCCGTAACTCAGCAAGGATGATATTGCGAGTTTGTAGTTGACAGTTCACTTCGTCAACTGGTGAACCATGATCCGAAAATTTAAGAAGAATGGGAGGATCACGCCCATAAAGTGCTTTAAAAGGGGTCATACCTGTGGAGCCGTTGAAAGTCGTATTGAACCAGAACTCGGCCCAAGAGATCCATTTAGGCCATTGGCAAGGCTGGCTACTCACAAAACAGCGAAGGTACATTTCAACACATCGATTGACCACTTCCGACTGGCCATCAGTTTGAGGGTGATATGCCGAGCTCATGCGAAGCTGCGTGCCCAAGTGTTTAAACAACTTCTTCCAAAAATAACTGATGAAAACTCGGTCGCGATCGGATACAATGGAGCGGGGAAACCCATGTAGCCGAACAATCTCCTTGATAAAAAGGTGGGCAACATCCGTGGCCGTGTAGGGATGCTTAAGGGCCAAGAAGTGGCTATACTTAGTTAGTCGGTCAACCACGACCAGGATGGTATCGGCAATATTTGTTTTGGGAAGCCCGGTGATGAAATCCATAGATATGTCTTCCCAAACCTGCTCAGGAATGGATAGAGGCTGCAATAACCTTGCGGGACTCAAGGCCTGGTATTTATTTTGTTGACAAACTGCACAGGAATCGACAAACTCCTTGATATCTCGTTTCATGCCCTCCCAGTACACCACACTGCTGAGTCTTTTAAAAGTGCGAAAGAAACCCGAATGACCCCCAACAGGAGATGAGTGAAACTCATGTAGAAGAAGTGGAATGTGGGCCCCTTTCCTTGGTACAACTAGGCGACCATTACACAAGAGATGGTGGCCAACTAACGTGAATGGTGGGTGGCCATTGGGATCCAACAACAATTTTTGACAATTCCACGCAATTTGTCATCTTGTTGAATAGCATCCTCTAATTCTTCCATACCTACAAAATATCTGACAGACAACCCATCAAATTCCACCTGTTCACCTCTTCTAGACAATGCATCAGCTACCCGATTCTCTGCCTCTGGTTTATACTGGATAATAAAATTCAACCCAATCAGTTTAGCAACCCATTTCTGTTGATCTTCACCTAGTAACCGCTGATCCGTTAGAAAATGGAGGCTCCTTTGGTCTGTCCTAATAATGAAGCGACGCCCCCATAAATAATGTCGCCACTTCTGAACTGCCATCACAATAGCCATTAATTCCCGCTCATATACTGATTTAAGCTTCGATTGAGATGATAAGCCTTTGCTTAAAAAAGCCAACGGTCTACCCTCCTGCATCAGGACAGCCCCTAACCCACTCCCTGAGGCATCAGTTTCAATGATAAATTCCTTAGTAAAGTCTAGCAAAGCTAACACCGGAACTGAAGTCATTATCCTCTTAAGCTCATCGAAGGCCTTTTGGGCTTCCGAATTCCATTGAAATGCATCTTTCTTAAGTAAACTGGTGAGAGGAATGGCGATTTTCTCGTAATCCTTGACGAACCTTCGGTAGTAACCGGTCAAACCCAGAAATCCTCGTAATGCCCTGATATCCTTGGGACTTGGCCATTGTAAAACACTGTCAATTTTGGAAGGATCAACTGCCACCCCACATGCTGAAATGACGTGTCCCAAATATTCTAATTCTCACTGACCGAAGAAACACTTCTTCCTATTGGCAACCAAGTGGTGTTCTTCAAGGGTGCTGAGGGTGATCTCTAAGTGTCGGATATGATCCTCTTTAGTGTGGCTGTAAACCAATGTGTCATCAAAGAATACCAAAATGAACCGATGTAGAAAAGGCCGAAATATGTCATTCATCAAGGCTTGGAAAGTGGCTGGGGCATTAGTCAACCCAAAGGGCATGACTAAGAACTCATAATGTCCTTCATGTGTCCTAAAAGCGTTTTGTGGGTGTCCCCCTCCTTTACTCGAATCTGGTGGTAGCCCGACTTCAAATCTAATTTGGAAAAAATGGAAGCTTCTCCTAATTCATCAAACAATTCGTCAACCATTAGGATGGGGAACTTATCCAGAACCGTGATCTTATTAAGAGCCCTGTAATCCACACAAAATCGCCAACCACCGTCTTTCTTTTTCACCAATAACACTGGGCTAGAAAAGGGGCTAAGGCTGGGCTTAATGATACCGGCAGCTAACATCTCACTCACTAGTTTTTCTATCTCATTTTTCTGGTAGTAGGGATAGCGGTAGGGTCTAATATTTGGGGTTTGGGAGCCAGGGAGGAGGTTAATGGAGTGGTCTTGGGTCCTTGGCAGTGGTAATCTTGGAAGTGAAGAGAAGATTGACTGATACCGAACCAGAACTAGTAGAATGTCGCTGTCCTCTTCAACTTGTGATTCACCTAGCTTCTGCAAATTACCAAATTCCACAAAACACCCATGTCCCTCGCGTTGAATTGTCCGCAGCATAGCTTTTAAGGAAATCAGAGTTTTGCTCCGAGAAGGGTCACCCACAAATTTCACAATTCTGTCTCCTAGTCTGAACTTCATTACCTGTGTTTTCCAATCCACCGTTGTTTCCCCCAAAGTTTCCAACCATGCCACACCCAAAACCACATCTGCACTGTTCATCTCAAATGGAAAAAAATTCTATATAATTAGAGTCCCCTGAATGTCCAACTGTACCTCCCTACATTCTCCCTCACATCGCACCCAATATCCGTCTCCCACACGTACCCCAAAGGTTTGCGTCTGCATCATTGGTAATCCCAACTTCTCAGTCACACCCTTGCTGATAAAATTATGTGATGCTCCACTGTCGATCAACATTATCACTTCAACCCCACTGATTTTTCCCTTTACCTTCATGGTTTTCGGACTTGAGATTCCCACGACTGAACTAATTGAAAGCTTCGCATCATTTGGTAGTTGCTCCTCCACGGTCTCACTCAGATCGGCCTTAACGTCATTTGGCTCATCTTGACTCTCATCCTCATCAATCAACACGACGCGGAACTGCTTGTCTCCACACCGGTGGCCTGGAAAAATTTTTGCGTCACACCGAAAACAAACCCCACGCGCCTTTTTTCTCTAGATCTCAAGTTCTGTCATCTGTTTGAAGGGAAATTCTTTTCTGAAAACTAAGCTGCTCGGTTGCTGCTGGACAGAGTTATTGCTGCTACGTTGACTAGCATTTGGAGAAAAATGGCTGGTTCTCTCGTTCCATTGGCGGCCTGATTGGGCAGAAAAATTTTGATGTTGGCTAGAGTTTAAATTCGCGCTACCTGAAGGAACTAATGGATTAGAGTTTTGTGCAAGCTTTGACCCATTTTCCTGCTGCCAAAAACTTTTACCCAGTCCACCACTATAGGCCCAATTTATCCTACTAATTCCACTGCCCATAACAGACTTAACACCCTTATTTAGCCCATGTTTTAATTCTTCCAAGGCCCTATTTTTTTTTTTCTATCTTCTGGGCCAGTTCAATTAGCTGAATAATGGAAGTGGGCTGGCCCAATCTAACCTCAGCTTTTAATTCGGGTTTTAGCCCATTCAGAAACGCAGCCCAAAGTAAATCCTCCTTCTCATCCTTCAATGGAGCTGACAGGGCTTCAAACTTGCGGCGGTAATCCTCCACTGTTCCGGTCTGCCGGATTCCCATCAACGCCTCATACGGACCACCATCTTGGGATCCTCCGAACCGCTGAAGCAGAGACAGTTTAAACACTACCCAAGTCGTGACTGGAGCGTGGATTTCCATCCACTAGAACCAATTTATGGCGTCTCCCTCCAAACACACAGCCATCGTGTTCAACCACTCCTCTTCTGCCACTTGATACACGTTGAAGTACCTCTCTATCCGGAACAACCACCCATACGGATCCTCTCCGACGAAGACTGGCATCTCGATTTTCCGGCCAGCGCATCCTGGACATCGTCAGCCATCTATTCCGTTTTCGTCATTCATATTTGCATTAGGGTCCTCATTTTCCCCCGCTGTGTTGCCTGTATTGTTTATGGGTGTCTCTGTCGAACCACCCCTTTCAGCTCTTCTAACTTCTTCTTCATCCTTACGCCTAATCCAAGCTTGGATTTCCAGCAAACAATCTCTCATGGTTCCCATGTCCTTCTCCACAACATCTAATCTGTTTTCCATCCTTGTTCCAACCATTCCCCAAACGTCACCTGCTCTGATACCAACTTGTTAGGACCATGCTGTTTCATTCAATCTCTCCTGCTGTTCCACCTGCAACTAAACTTATATACACTACAATATCCAGCAACAGATCCATGGCCACAGCACACAACACACTCACTCAATCAATCAATCTGAATATTCTCAATAAGTGTATTAATAATCAAGGGTTCAGTACAACTTTCTCAAGAGTATCAAAAATGTAAAAGAAAAGATGAATAGAGAATAACAAGGCTGATTTTCCACAACAGACGAAGAACACAAAAACAATAATCTGCTGGCTTCGAGGGCCAGTACCTCCCCAGTCCCAATTTCCCCTTTTTCTCTAATACCCCACAAATATCCCCTGTCACCCTTTTTACGCCCAACTTCATTCTAACAGAATTATTCCCATTCCAATCCAAGGATGCCACCTGTCCTTCCAAGGATGCCACTTGTCCCCTGCTTGTTGAGTAGAAAGTACCATTTTATCCCTTCTGTCCACGCTTTTTCCTTCTGTTGAAAACATGCACCAGCGAGGTCTCATCATATTACTTTCTAAATCATCACCCATTGCAGTATGTTCTGTTAATGCTAGCAACAAATGCTTCTTCAAAACAAAAACTAATCCAATATAATCAACGAAAGATTTGCATACTATTGTTCTATTGCCAGACTCCAGTATCCAGAAAGTGTGACCAGCAGAAACGATTTGCAAACATTTCTCTGAAATATGATTTGTTCATGCAGAAATGATTGGCAAAAAATTTCTCTGAAATATTATTTGCGAACATTTCTCTATGACAGCAAAAGAAAATCAATGAAAACTACATGTTTGGATGGTCAAGAAAGAATTAAGCTAAATCAACCTCTATGGTGACAATGAAAATGCAGTGAGTACGTACCGAGCAATAATAAATGGCCACAAAAGAATGCATTAATAAAAATGTTCTTTCATATAATTTTAGCATGAACTAGTTTCTGCATTCACCTCCTTCGTGATGGTGATCCACTACTGATTACAGCACCACGAACAATGGATCCTGTGTAACAACCAGATTTTCTAATCAATTAAGGCACCATGGCTGGGATTGGAAACTGTACAAAAATAGCAGCTCAGCATCAGATACAGTGGTGTTTTTAACAAATAAATGTAAGAAATTTATGGACACATCCAAACTTATATAATAAGCCAATCAATTCCAGATTAGTACCTACCAACCCAGATTAAATCCAAGTATTCCATTTAAAACTTGGAACTTGAACTGGAAGCTCCTTCCCTTTAATTTTTGAGGAAGAGGACCAACCTTCAACTTGATTCCAACTTAGAGTATAAATTCCTACCAGAATAAATAAATAAATAAATAAGACAACAAAGAAAAAAAATACCAGAATAAATAAATAAATAAGACAAGAAAGAAAAAAAATTGAGTTGATAACAAATTAGCAAATTGAATTTCAAGGGAAAAAAAAAGTTGGTACATGCATTTAAAAGGTTTCTTTGCACATACATGTTACTCTTAAAACATGCTTCTATAGTACTTTAAATCAGCAGAAGCACTTACAAGAAGCTATTTCAAAAAAGAGAAATTTTGTAGTAGAAGCACCAAATAATAAGCTGTGCATGATTTAGCAGATTCCAAAATCCATTTAAAAGAAAATATATCAAGCTTATTTTCCTTTGAGGCAGCTCAAAGCGACCCAAGTTAGGGATAATGGAAAAACTAGTCATACATGGCAGAGGTACTCCAATGCACATGCAGAGAAAATGGGCTAGTCATATAGATAGACACATAACAGGATATAGTAAGCTTGTTCAGGTGGCTGGAAAATATTATAATTTTCCTTACCTGGCAGCTTACAAAGCTACAAGAATCGGGTGAGAATCAACAAACTTTGACCAACAATTCTAGCTAAATTTCAGGGAGTTAACAACCTAGTCAGCCATCATTTTCAAAATCCCTTCATCTTCTTTTCCCTCTTAACGCAATTTAGTCTTCTCTTTTGCTTAAAATTTATATATAAGCAATGAAGAAGCATTTGATTCACTTTTTGGCCACTTCTCAAGCAACCACTACTCAAGATCTCTTCCTCTACTAGTTCTCCACAAGACATAAACTTCTGCTCACCAAGAATAGTCTCATTTAAAAGATACCAGTAAAGGCACCTTGGAGCTCAAGCGAAAAAGCTGGCCACCACTCTCCCACCTTCAATTTTCCTTTTTCAAATTTTAATTTCACTCTATTTAACTTTTAAAAGCCAATACAACTTGACTAACACAAAGTTTAAGTCCAAGCCTAACGTATCCAATACACACATAATATTATATTGTTAATTGTGTGAGTATGTAAGCTCGTTTCTAGCCTTCTACACGTGCTTTCAAGTATTCCTATCATGTTTGACCCCCATTGATTTACTCCTTCAAGTGAATTGAGCTAGCTCTAGAAACAAATGACCTATATTTGCCCATGAAACTTCTATGTTGTTATGCTTTTATAATATTAAAATTAGGTAAGTTTTGGTATTACCTTCAACTTCAGTACAATAGCTCTATTACTTCTATATTGAATGACAATTGTTAATTGTGTAAAATAAATTTACTCTATCTTGTCTATAACATCCAGGATACCCCTTATGTTGAAAATTTCTATTACATTGATATACAACTTATCCTCACACTAGGCTTAGACTTACCTTTGTTTTCTCCTTGTTTTCCCTCCACGTCATAGTTGAGTTCCTGATTCTTCTTAGTTGAGTAACAAAGACTAACATAAACCAAATTTCTATTTTGCATGTATTCAATTGCATATAATAATGCTATAAACCACATGTTACTTTAAACATTGTGCTTAATATCTAACTTTGTATCCCTACATATGACCAATGATGGATGCATAGGTCTGTGGCTGCGCAGGTTATAGGACCTACATTTTGGATAGAATAACGTTTGTATCTATGTTGGTTTGAATGTGAATGGGTACGATTAAAGATGTGAACCATATTAAAGTTAATGGCCATATTAAATGCAAACAGCTCAGAGTTATGAAGTATGAATTACTGCCAATTACATAATATGAGGCAAAACATATATACCTTTGTTTATGAATTTGTCCGCACAAAACTGAGCTGAGCCAAATAATTGCTCTCAGCTAAATCATGAAGTGTACGATGAGAACGTGTCCCTTCACGATCAGGTTTTCCAAAATCTTCTTTCAAGAATCTTCTACATTTATCAGTATCCTACAGTAAAAGGAAGCCAACCGTTAAAAAAAGACCAAAATGTAGTGTATAGTACAATGATCTGTGTGAAGAACCATAATAATGCAAACATTGCCAATCTTTGATCTTACAGAAAGACACAAAACTGAGAAAGAAATTTTATAAAAGGATCCGAACAAAAGGTAAATGCCTTCACATAAATGGCCAGTCATTCAAAATCAAATAAATAGTATCTTTTAGTTTTGCATTCTGGTAAATTAATTTACAAGATAGGTGCTTTGTGGCCAGCTTGACTTCTATTATGTGCCATAAAGATTATGTGAAGGAGGATCTAAACCAGCTCAGTAAACCTGTGGTAAATATTAAAGATGGAAGGAATCTCCTATTTGTTGACATATGACATGAAATGTGAAACATTTTCACTAAATGCAATTCTCAATATATGAACATTTACTTGGTATGCCAATTTTGATAGTTTTTCATTCTTTAACATGCTCTTGATAAAGATTTAAGAATCATTTGGCAAAAGTTCATATCTATACCTTTTTCCTATTCTTTCCATTCTTTTACATATCATTTTCAAATCATTATATGCTTTATTCTATCCAACATCCACCAATTCAGAGAAATTTTTAGATTAACAAAAAGAAAACGAATAATTTTTAAAAAATGCTTTTATACCAGTAAGCATATAACAAGTCAGTTTTTCCTTTAGAATTTTGATAAAACATAAAGCTTGATGATTGATATGCACATATTAACAACTGGGTATGTAATATAATAAGGAAGCTTTCATACTAATGTAAAAGTACTAATGTTTCAAAAATTAAATCATTATTTTAGGAGAAAGCTACACCTGCAAGAATTTCAGCATTTGTTCTTCAATCGTACCACGCATTGCTAGAGTTTCTACGTGAATTGGACGACTAGCACCCATCCGATGAGCACGACTAATGACTTGTTCTTCCATGCTAATAAAGTTTCAACAAAGAAAACAATTTACACCACTTTGGTTAGAAAAAGGGTGTTCGATATAATTTCAAATACAGTAGTTAAAAAAAGAATCATGGCATCAAGACATTTTTCTTCTCGAATATTCTCATCACAGATGGAAGAAGTGGGGGCAAGGAAAATGGCATGGTACTTGAAATAAAAATGGATGAGGAAGATAACCAAGCGTGTGTTTGGTTATGATTATTTCATTTTTTGAGAGAAAAGTCAATACAATGAAAATAGGTGAATTAAAATTTTGTAGTTTTAAGATTCAAAAAAATGTTTGGGATCATAGTTCGAAAATATTGAATAAAATATTTTAATAATTAAAATATTCTTAATTATTATTTGCATGTATTTTAATGATGAACCACATTAAAATATTCTCAATTGTCATTAAAACATTTTTGCATTCAGTATCAGTGAACAGGTGGCACATACTTATTCAAAAGATGTCATAATAACTGTTACAGAAGAAAAGGATAAAAGTAGTTTTCTCAAATCAGTTTTCTCAAATCTTTCACATTTCACTGATAAAGCAAAACACGAAAGTTTGCATTCTGCATTATTGAAAATGAATACTTGTCTTATGTTTCATGAAAGAGAAAATCGCAAAACATTTTCCTGAATGATAAACAAACACATCCTAAAATTTTAAGGAGGACAGAAACATTTAAAGAAAACTAAAAACCAAGAACTTGGGCTATCCAAAGAATTTTATTTTTCCCCTTCTAAGAAAAGTATTATATCAAATCATAATCAAATAACATTACCTTCTGTCCCAGATCGGTTCCATTAAAAAAACATGAGTTACAAAGCTCAAATCAAGACCCAATGCAGCACTTCCATCCATTAAAAGAGCCAGACAGCTATGATCGTGCTGGAATGTGGCCAGTGACTTAATCTAAATGATTAAAAATTAATTAAGTTGAAGCACACAAAGAAAAATTTAAGATATAAAATATCTGGAAAAAAGCTTAAAGAAAAGTACCTTGTTGCTAGAATGCATCGGACTATACATACCAGCAAATTTGATACCAGCAATTGTTAACTGTCAAACAGGCAAGCAGTTCATAATCCATTATTTGCATGAAATAACCACAAAAAGACATGTCAAAACAATGATAAAGTAGCTACCTGCTGCTCAATCACATGTATATGCTCCAGAAACTGAGAAAATATAATAACCTTCTCTGGTAGTGCCTTGTAAGACTCCACACTTGGTCTATAGGAATCCTGCTCCAACAATACACTCAAATTGCTCTTCTGAGGTGGACAAACTAGCTCCTTGGCGTGGTTGATGCAATTATCTTCATCCATAGGATTATCACTCTCTCTATCAACCTCCTGTAATGTTTTCAACTTCTCTACTAGATATGTGACTTTACTGCTAGAAGTTGATTGCCAATCAGGATTCCAGTCATCCTAAATATAGATAAAACCAAAAGCATAGATTACTAAACATTGTTTACATATAAGTATGTAAAAAAGACAAAAGAAATTCCACTTTGAGGAAAGCCTACCTGCCTATACGAAGGTTGTAACTCAATAAGATCTTTTGGGACAGGCCACTTTGGGTTGGGGTTTTCAGGGCGGGTTAATATTTCAGGAGACTGCATCTCATATAAGTTACCACAGCCGGGGAAAGTACACCTTTCGCTGTCCAATGCAACACAACCAAGGCACAAAAGATGCCTACAAGGGGTAATGACTGGTAGACGGCACCATTCCTTGCATCTAACTCATAAGAATAGGGATAAAAGAAATTTCTTTAATGTGAAATCTAGACACTTAACAATAATTCAGTAGTTAAAAAGTTAAAAAAAAAAATCATTAGCAAAATGTTACCTGAGACAGTTACCTCCATAGAGGAGGTTATATTTAACGAAAGCATATTCCTCTGAAGCAGGATCAAGACCATTTTCAACTAACATATCCATTGTTTCTTGAATATCCTCGCCAGCATCTGTTACTTTANATATAAGTTACCACAGCCGGGGAAAGTACACCTTTCGCTGTCCAATGCAACACAACCAAGGCACAAAAGATGCCTACAAGGGGTAATGACTGGTAGACGGCACCATTCCTTGCATCTAACTCATAAGAATAGGGATAAAAGAAATTTCTTTAATGTGAAATCTAGACACTTAACAATAATTCAGTAGTTAAAAAGGAAAAAAAAAAATCATTAGCAAAATGTTACCTGAGACAGTTACCTCCATAGAGGAGGTTATATTTAATGAAAGCATATTCCTCTGAAGCAGGATCAAGACCATTTTCAACTAACATATCCATTGTTTCTTGAATATCCTCGCCAGCATCTGTTACTTTAATGTGTCCAGCTACACAGCATGATAACCTCACATTCTTAATGGTAGTAATTCGAAATTTCCACTGCTTTGGATTCAGTAAACTTTCAACATGGGAAGGATCATTCCAGTCAGCCATTAATATATTGCGTCGTACTGTAACTACCAGTTCATTATAGCTTTTTGCATGCTCCTCATTGAAATCCAGAAATGTTACCACCTTGATGCATGGAGGAATAGTTTGCAAATCTATCTTTCTAGCACTAATCATGCACCTATGGAGCAACTGAAACAAACGTGATCGACCCTCCTCCATTTCTAGCTCAAATGGCCTAAGAATGCCAGCCTCCCATGACTTATGATTATTTCCATATGCTTCTTCATGAAGGAACTTCAGCATTGGTTGAAGATGAGATAACTGACTATTCGGAGTGTTTGGAGTAGGGGTTCCAGTTAATAGCCAACGATTTGAAGCAGTCAATGAAACAGCCATTTGCAATTTGTTTGTCAAGTTAAGACTTGACCCAAGGGTGTGTCCTTCATCTAACATGACCCTAAGCCAATGCACTTGCATCATTGGACTTTTCTTGCGGGGCCCCCATTCTGCACTTAAACGGTTAAAGGTAGTGATAACAATATCATAGTCCCAAGCTAGACTGTGAGCAGAAGGCTTTTTATGATCAGTCCAAACAAAAAGCCGCAACTGTCCAGGTCTGACATGTTTCTGGATTTGGGTTTTCCAGTGGTCAACTAAATAAGGAGGAACAACCACTAGAGTTGCCCTTGATAAATATAACCTGACCGAATCTAGTGGTTCACAGAGAGCAATTCTAAGAGCATCCAAATCAAATGCCAAGTTTTCAAGAGTCCGTGGATAATACCACCTACTAGTACCCTTTTCCATTCTCCTCACAAGACCAAATGCTTGAAATATTTTACGGAACCCTTGGGCATCTCCCTCACCTAAAATTGGACTTGTCAAACCAATTGTTTCCATTTCAGCAAGTTTTTCTGGAGAAAGTTTAGTCAGCCAAGTTAACGCTTTCTTAGTTTTAGAATTTATCAGGGCATAGTGTTCCTTAAGCACACTGATAAAAAATGACACATTTTGCTTTTTTCCGCCAGAAGTTCCTTTAATGTGAAATCCTGGCAGGTATGTGATAGACTGGCAATTATCCCAAGCTTCTTCTGGATCCCTACAACTCTGATGTGTAAGGTCTGTGTTCATACTACAAAACCATGCTGCTGTAGCATCAGTAACACTTGCATCTTCAACCTTTCTCCACTTATGACAGGCATCACACTGAACCCAAGTTTCATTAAATACAAAATGGTCAGCATTAGCCTTGTCAGCCCTCTTGCAATTGTTCGACACTAGATATGATAAACCAATTTGAGATCTCTGAGAGACATGGTTAGGGTGATTAGCACGCTTCTTTGTGGATGACTTTGTTTTAGTCCTGCTATAGTCAGAATAACTAGACTCTACATCATAAGCATGAAAAAGGTTCTTCCTTATTCGACCCAAGCTCCTTGTGCACCTAACTAAACGCGAAGCAGGTTCAGAGTTTGCATCTGATGGTGTATTCATTACTATACCAGGAAAAGAACCAACTCTCTCAATTTGCTTGCCTGGATCCATTAACCTAGGTCTTTTAGGGAATGGGTATTTTAAATCTTCCATGGAAGTAAATTTATCTAAAGAAAATTTTCCCCTGCAAGCATTCTGATACACAAGTCTTTTCCCTACAAACATATTGTTACAGGTGAATTTATCACCACTAAGGTCATAATACCCACACCTCTTGTCACCATTATGAGTGCACCAGATAATTTGAACTCCATCTGGAGGGTCAGCCAGTGTTCCTTGCGTCTTCAGAATAAGAGAAAGAGCAGTTATAGTCTTACCTAGTCCAGGTTCATCACAGAACATTCCCCCACGAAAATCTCTGATAGTGGGGACTAAAGCAGTAACTATATCACCAGAAACAGCATTAACATAGAAAGGAAACCCATCTTCAGTCAAGAAATCCATGTACAGAGGATGTTGGAGAACTTCAGAATTCCGCTCCCGGTGCAACATCCACTCAACTGCAGCCTGCTGATGAGGAAAAAGCCTGAGTTTCATACATGGCATAATTGATGCAGCTAAGGTTCTTAAATGGCGACAAGTTGCAGCAACCTTGACCAGGTCCATTGGACCAAGCCGAGTTAGTATAGAAAGCAGAATATCATTTGTCACATCTGACATGCCAGAGCTGCAAGAATCAACCTCTGGTTTTACTCTAGAAGAATCAAGCTTACCCCTATTTGATACACTAGGCAAGCTCTTAAAAACTTCATGCAGTTCAAAAAGCCTTTTCTTAGAGGAATCCTGGGCACCACAGTGCAAATTGCAGTGGAGAACATGGCAATCAGAAATATTCCAAATTCTACTTCCATTTGAATCTTTACAATATTCACCACTATCAACAAGCATTGCCTTTCTATGCGCCCAATCACAACTGCAGATTACTTAAACTGCATTAGCAAGGTAGATAAGACTAATGTAAAATAGAAAGACAAAATGTCACTTCTTTTACAAGATAACAAAATTACTAATATAACTAATGGAGTCAGCAAATAGAAAACTATAACTCAGTATCTGCAAGATTAAATTTCAAGGGTGTTGCAGCAAGAATACAACCAGGACTAGCAAAAGTATAACCTGGACATTTAAAACTGTTAATGTAAATTTGGTAGGTGGAAATAGCAATTTAAAATAATTTTTTTGTACATATAAGTTTCACTATATTGGTTAAAGCTCTATATCCTGAAGGATCTGAAAGCTGAAGGTTCTACGTCAAGTAATAAATACTTACAAGGTCAAGCTATAGTAACTTAAATTTTTAACTTAATTTGAAAAACTAATTTTTTTTTTTTTTTTTAATTTTGTTTAATTTAGTTTTGCTAAGAAACAATTTGAAACTAATTAATAGCCATTCAGGTATCATGATCCAACGGCTTAAAAGGTAATAAGGTGACACATAAAATAACTACTTGAAACTACCCATTCACAACCATTAGATTAAAGCAAATAAAAGATCGAAAACTTGTATCACCAATTTAAGTCAAAAAATTAAGTTGATATAGACTGACCCATAGTTAAATATGAAGATTTCTAAATTATTATTTATAAATAAAAAGGTACACCAAAAATGAAGTACTAATAGCTCTGGTTCAACCAAAATGGCGAATCTAGGGATTAAGTAACGATCTGTTACCAGAAACAGTTATGGAGATTTTTTATGGGGGTAATAAATTTCTTATGGCACACATTTATAAGAACCAAGTATGAACCTCCCAAGAAGGGATGAGACTACAGAGAGGTGATTGAGGTCTTGTTGATGCCCATGGAGATTAGATTAATTTATTAATGTTTAATTGAATATAAAAAATAATAATTACCGTTAATATAAGTTTATAAATTCAACTTTAGCGGATACTACAGTACCGGCTCACTGTAACCTCACCGGCCGTTTTCAGTACAAATAGTATTGGAGAATGTACCTCAAATGTCTGAACATAGCACCGGCAACCGAGCCGGACTTCGGAAACTGCCAACCGGACCACACGGCAATCGGCAAATACACATCCACAAGCACGACAGCTCTGGCTTCCTGATTTTCTCCAATCTCCACACGCATCACTCGCGCGTCGATCTTCACACACTTCTGATTCACCAACGACTGCAGCTGGTGCACCACACTCATGCTCCCATTAACTAATCCCATCCTCCTCAGCCTCCGATTTGAACCTGCACTCGAATTCCCCTTCGAAATGCCGCCGTGCTCGGGAAGTTTGGTGTCAACTAGGGAGAAAACTACGCCGTTTTCGGATCTGAAACCCGTTTCAGATCCGTCATAGAAGATGTGACATGGAGTGTTGAAAGGTATGGTTTGTTTGAGGTTAGAGCGAGGGGAATCAACTGTGAGAACTGCACAGAGGTAACCGCATAGTTTGTGGTCAGAAAACGATGACGTGTGGTCCATTGGATTGGCGAAATTAGGGTTTCGAATTTAAACGGCCTGAAGATGAAGAAAGCGCACCGGAGAGAGGAGGGCTTTTCTCGTAATGGTTTAGGTAGTTACGATACAGTTTTTCTTACGTTTCAGTTATGTTTTGTGGATCACGTGGTTCGTGGTAAGGTTATTGGGTGATTTGTCAACGGTTTGATCAACTTAGATATCATACTATGATGGCTGATCTTGATCGTACGGTTAGCAATCATGCAACACCGGAACTTTTCTTCGTGTTTTCTTTGATATAAGACTCGACTATTTAGGAGGTCAAATTTTCCATTTTCCATTTTTCATGGTTTGTTTCAAAAATTTTTGTTGCTTGTGTTTTGATTGTAGCATGATTATATATATATTATACTCTAAACATTGGATTAAGGATTTGGATTAACTCAATTTTAAGAGAAATTAACACAAACATTAAAATTATTTAATTAAATAATTAATTGCCATTAATTAATAATATTTAAAACTAAAAAATAATGAAATAAATCAAAATATAAAATCAAAATTATTTAAAATATATTTGGAATTTTATACATAGAGACAAAATCTTTTAATTTGAAATTTGACTTAAATTGAGATACAAATTTTCAACCATAGGTATTTTACAATCTAATGGATATGAGACGGTTTGGAAATACTTGTTTTGTTTGCCACATCAATAAGTCCTACACCATTTACCTGTATTGAATTTACAGCTGAAAAAATGTATACTCATCACTCAATTTAAGTTAAAAGTTTAAGTTACAAGGATCTCATTCCTTATATAAAACTATAGGTGCGTTTGGCTTATTATTTCTGCCCATATTCCCAATCTTATTCTCCAAATAATGTTTAACATATTATTCCATTAAATACCCCCTGAAAAAAAGTTTAAAAACTAACAAAAACACCCCCCGGCCCATACTTGCCAGATTTCAGCAACTACCGTTGGTGGTAGCCGGAATCTACCACAACAGTGAATTATTGATCTGAACTTGCCGGTAATTCACCGATCTGGCCTTTTCCAACCAGATCCACAATAGATCTGGCTGGAAAAAGCCAGATCTGGCTGTCAGTGACGGCCAAATCTTAGCCATCGTTGATCGACAACGACGGCCAAGATGGCCTTCTTTGGCCTTTTCTGACCGTGACGGCCACATATGGCACTAGAACTGGCCTTTTCCAGCCAGATCCGTGATGGATCTTGCCGAAAAATGTCATAGCGACGCCATAGCGGCCAGATCCGGCTGGTATATGTTGTTACACAATTTTTCGGCCAGATTCCAGCGGTGGTGGCCGGAATCTGGCACTGCGGGTGATGGGGGTCTTTTTGTCATTTTACAATAGTTTTATATATTGGGGTGTTTATTAAATTAGCAAACTTAGGGGGTTTTTTTATAAATTTTTAAATTTTACCTCGTAATACTCTTATATTCAATTATCCAATGCTATCCCCAAAATCCTATCCAAAACAATAAACCAAACGCACCCATAATATTTATACTAATACATGATTTTATATTTATACATATTATAAATACTATTTAAAACAAGCAAGTCATTTTCCTTTTTGCGATTTTAAAATATTGCTTTCAAAAAAAATATACCAATTGTGTTTTTATTTTGTTCTTAATATTTATCATTTAAATTAATCAATTTTCAACTTCTTCTAAAACATAAAATCCATTCATAAAAGAAAAATACACCCATTATTTTTATCATTATTTTAAACTGCTATTGAATCTAAATAAAACAAAGGTGCATTTATAAAGGTTTAGAAGATAAAAAAAATTGTTTTTTTTTATTTTTTAATGGGAGAATGACATTTCCCACCCAGGTTTGGTGAAACACCATTTCCCACCCTTCAAGTTTCAAATGACACTTTTTTCACCACTTCTTTAGGTTATGTATGTTTTTAGTAATATTTTATTGAAAACAAAAATAACTTTATTATTTTTTAATTAGTAAAAAAAAAAAAAAGTTAACCCCACCTAAAAAGTTAAGAGTAATGCTATGGAATTGTTTAGTTAATTAACCTTAATATTATTTATTTATAAAATCATCAATATTCAATCACTATTATTCAATAATCTACTAAATTTAAATTTTTTCATAATATAATGTTTTTTCATTTTTATTATTAACAGAGAAATAAATATTCTAATTAATTAAATAAACAAAAGAAAAGTGTATTTTACATTGAATTAATAAATAATCGGTAAACTTTACTTAATTAAATTTTAATTTATAATAACTGATTAAAAATAAACTATTTAAAGTATTTTCGTTTTTCAATCAAATATTAACAGAAAACTTACAGAATCTGACGAAGGTGAAAAGTGTCATTTGAAACTTGATGGGTGGGAAAGTATCGTTTCTCAAACTTGGTGGAAAAATGTTGTTCTCCCTTTTTTAATATAAAATATATATAAAATAGAAAAATTGTGTTCTTTAATATTTATATCATGTCCTTTCAAAATTAAAACCACGGTATGACAATTTTTACAAGGGTTGGTTTGGGCCATTTTGCCGTATGCTCTCCGGGACTTTAAAAAAATAAAAGATACAATAGATCTAATGGGAAGAAATAGTTTTAATAAATAGGCGGCGGTTTACAAGTTGGACGAGGAAATTTAACTCCCAGGCCACCCAATTTTCATTTAACAAAATGACCATGAAAATCTTTTGATTTTTTTGGGTTAAAAAATATGACGTGGCACACTTAAGTGTAATTAAAGCAGCAAAAAAGATTATGGTGAAAGGATTAAACATTTGTGGGTTAAAGTATAATAAGAGAAGTTGATTTAAATTTCAAAGGCAAAACACATTTCTCTCAGCTTCTCTTTCTCACAACAGGATTCAAACACCTTTCTCTCTCTCGTTTTTCTTCTAATTTTCTGCAATTTCTCAATTTTTGCTTTTTGCATTTTTGTCATTCCTTGTCATTCCCGATTAAGTTATATAGCTGAGATCCTTAAAAACAGAAAAAACTCATCTACTCCCCAAATTGTAGGCACCACTGGGTCTACCAAAAATGGAGAAGAAGAAGTTGTGGTGGAGTAACTTCCGATGACTGAAGTTACTCCACCAGGAGAGGAGACGGCGTCGACGGAAGACATTCTATTGGCAAACAAGGGAGGGCAAGAGTTAAAATTGAAACTGAGAGGAGGATGCCGACGCAAATTCCAGCGTCGGACATGATCGCTTAAGTGATTTAAAATCGCTTAAGCGACCAAGAGTAAAAGCAAAGGATCGCTTAAGCGATCTGGTATAAGCGATTTTAGATCGCTTAAGCGATCATGCATCTGGGCAAAGTTGATTCTGCTTCGGACATGATCGCTTAAGTGATTATAAATTGTTAAAGCAACCAACGTTAAAAGCAAAGGATCGCTTAAGCGATCATGCGTCTGAGCACTTTTTTTTTGTCTTGTTCATGATCGTTTAAGCGATCGTAGATCGCGTAAGCGACCAATAGTAAAAGCGAAGAATCGTTTAAGTGATACATTTAATCGCTTAAGCAATTGTGCATTAGGCAGAAGTTTATTCTGCCTCGACATGATCGCTTAAGCGATTACAAATCGCTTAAGCGACCAATTAAGCAAGGATCGCTTGCGATAGAATAAACCGCTTAAGTGATCGTGCGTCTGGGCACTTATTAATTTTGTTTGTTCGTGATCGCTTAAGCGACCAAGTGTAAAAGCTTAAGCGATAACATAAATACAACCAGATCTCTTAAGCGACTAAGTCTAAATACACAGATCGCTTAAGCGAGAAATGAAATCTCTTAAGCGATCTATGTATTTGGATTATTTTTATTGTATTTCACTAGATTGGTTAAGCGATTAACGCTATCTTAGACATATAAGGTGGTCGATTCATTCATTAGTAACCATGACCATTATTATATTTTAATTAAATTATTTCTTTAATGGCTATATTAAACTATATGGTGTAGAATGTTTACGTCTATATTAACATATCAAGTGTACGATTCATTCAGTGGACCATGATCGTTATTATATTTTAATTAAATTAGTTCTTTTACAGCTTATAAACACATATGGTGTAGAATGTTTACATCTATATTAAATATATCAGGTGTATTCATTCAGTGGACCATGACCTTATTATATTTTAATATAAATTAGTTCTTTTACGGCTATATTAAACATATGGTGTAGAATGTTTACATCTATATTAAACAATCAGGTGTACGATTTGTTCATAGACCATGACCGTTATTATTTTAATTAAATTAGTTCTTTTACGGCTATATTAAACACATATGTGTAAATGTTTACGTCTATATTAAACATATCAGGTGTACGATTCGTTCAGTGGACCATGACCGTTATTATATTTTAATTAATTAGTTCTTTTACGGCTATATTAAACATATATGGTATAGAAGTTTACATCTATATTAAACATATCAGGTGTACGATTTGTTCAATAGACCATGACCGTTATTATATTTAATTAAATTAGTTCTTTTACGGCTATATTAACATATGGTGTAGAATGTTATGTCTATATTAAACATATTAGGTGTATGATTCGTTCAGTGGACCATGACCGTTATTATATTTAATTAAATTAGTTTTTTACGGCTATATTAATATATATGGTGTAGAATGTTTACGTCTATATAAAACATATCGGTGTTAATTCATTTAATGGACTATGACCGTTATTATAATTTAATTAAATTAATTCTTTTACATCTATATTAAACATATTCCATAAACTGGAAAATAAATATTGAAGTAATTACCCTTAATCGTTTAGCGATCCCGTCTATTTGGCCTTGGTCTACAGAGTGTAGAGCAGATGTGTGCAGAGTTCAATTTTAATCAATATTATATTTTTTTTATATACTTTCTTACAGAACTAACAAATAATAGAATAACATATATTTTTCAGTTTTATGTACGGTGCTGTTGACAAAGACCGAAGTGTTCTTTTCACATTCTATGAAATGAAAAAAATAATTAATAATTAAAAAAAGACTAAATATTAATAAACATTAGGAATATATTTCTACCGAAGTATTAGTTTACTGCATCGCTTAACGATACAATTATTCGCTTAAACGATCTAGTACAAATAAGCCTGATCGCTTAAGCAATCTACTGCCATATATCTGATCGCTTAAGCGATCTGCTGCCATATACCAGACTTATACTAGATCGCTTAAGCGATCTTCTGTCATATACCAGATCGCTTAAGCGATCTGGTATCATATACCAACTATACCAGATCGCTTACGCTCTCTGCCATATCCAGATCGCTTAAGCGATCTATCAGATCCAAAACACATTTTCAGACCATCTCCACCTACAATCGTGCTATCCACCCTTACCTACTCACAATGCAAGAAAATATTCTCAAATTTCACTCCTTTCACACTTGCATTACATCAAACACAACCCAACAACCAAACAACTAATCAAAATCATAACCCAAACCCCATCCATTATTAAATCTTTGTAAATCTAAATATAAATATAAAAGGAGATACACATACTTAGATGAAATTTCAGGAGGGGGAGGAGGGGATCTTTGCGGAGAAGATGTTATTGTGAGGAGAAAAGTGTTAATGGCGGAGGAAGAAGAAGATGTAGAGGAAGGAGGAAAGGAAGAGAAGATGCGACGAAGAAGAAGATGTAGACGAAGCTAAGAAGAAATAGCAACCAAGGTGGAGATGCGTTATATGGCGGGAGGAAAAGAAGGTGTTTGGGTTTGTTTGCAAGATTTTAGGTTTTTGGGAATATAGTATAATTTTAAAAGATTACATAATACTTCTTTAATCATAATTAACACTAATCAAGTTTATTTACCCTTATCAATAATATGGCTATTTAGTTAAAACTTTAAACTTGATAGCCTTTAATTATATTCAAACTTGAGAGGTTGTTTTAATAAACTGCCCCGGAGTTGGACACACTTCACAGTAAAACAAGAACAAGAACAAACAGTGAAGAGAAAGCATGATATTAACACAAATGGCAAGAGATAGCTGCTTAGCCCGTGTTGGCGCCGGAGTTGCCGTCGGCGGTGCTGTCGGCGGTGCGGTCGGTGAGTTCTTTCGTATTCATATACCTTTTTAATCTTCTTTCCCAAAAGCCTAAACCCTAATTGACACTGACGAATATTTGTCTGTTGATTGTTCGTTCTGGTTTAAAATAGAAGATGTTTTTAATTGAGTTGATTTTGATAAGTACAAGATTATAAAATTCGAAGTTGAGTTTTTCAACCTTTTATACTTTCTCAGCAACCAAAAGGAGACTTAGTTTTCTTTCTCAGCATTGTTAAATTTTCTGTTAGACTAATAATAATGTTGCATTTTTTCTGTGGTTGTTATATGGTAACATGATAGTTGGCTAATTAGCTATTATTTATTTTGTGGGGATTTAACATTGTTTTTAGAAATTAATTTTGCGAGAAGGGTAGAAAATTTGTGCAAGAGTGTATATAGGCTTCTATGAGAAGCTATTTAGTAGCTTTTGCTTTGCTGTGAAAAAAATTATATTTTTTAGGTGGGCATGTAAAGTGTGGCCATCATTATTTTTATTGGTTAAATATGCAGAAGAAACAATATTTGGGGAAAGATTTTTTCTTTGAGCTTCTAGTTTTCTATAAGAGGATTCAGACAGTTTTTGAGGATTTTTTGGATGAAATTCTGATGACTAGTCGAAGGGATGATGGTAGAAAGCTGGTGATGGCATGTGGTATCTGGGTTATATTGCTTTTTAACTTAATACAATATGGGATTAAGATATCTCTTCTGCTTTGGGATAGTTTTCATTAGACCTAGCAAATAGGCGGGCCGGGTGGGTATGGGTACGGGTCGGGTAGTTACGGGTACATGTCCACAGATAAAAAAGTTTGCAGGTAAGAAAATGCATAGGCGGGTACGGGTCAACATCACCCGCAAAAAATGAAGTTTTTCAATTATTATTTTTTCCCTACTTTTTGTTATTCAAATTTCAAACTAAAAAATGTATACTGTATTAATTTTGGGAAAACATTAAAACATCGGAAGATTTGGACACCAAAACAAAACCAGGTTCAGCACCGCCACCATACCATTACTAGACAAAACCAATGGCTCTTATGAATAATCAATGGGCATGACATCCCCTGTTTTTTTTTCCATTTATTATAAATGGCCCACATCAATCAATAAGTCTCAGATAACTTAAATCTTTGCTTTTGTTTTTTAAGGCTACTCATGTTCTTCTGGTGACTCAACTTCTTCATCTCAAAAACCAAAACTTTGATTCTGTGAAAACAGTACTCAATTAGTTCCCCTCCTCAACATATTTTGCTGACCAGAACCAATTGAAACTGGAGACTAACAGTTATATACAAGCAACTGTGGATGATGAAGATCTGGCGGAGTCAAGGGTCTGCCTGGACACGCTCTGGCCTTAAATACTCAATTTCTTTATTGCAAGTTTTAATCTTGTAATCGTTTATCTCTAAGTCTTTCTTTTCGTTTGTGTTTTCCATTTTCTTCCTGTACATGCACAAGATGTGCATACGATTTATAGAAAAAAAATATTTCATCAACGAAATTTAATAGAGAAATTTCATACTAGCTCTCTCCTCTTCTCTACCAAACCCAACACCCAAAAACAAAGATTGAGCTAAGCCCTTGACGGCGTGAGACGATGAGAGTGAGAGAGATTGTCAGATTCAGAGCTGTTGTTGTGTTGCGTGAGACGGCATGACCGTGAGAGTGACAGTGTGAGACGTTGTTCGTTGGAGTGAGAGAGATTGAGAGCTGTTGTTCGTCGGCATGAGTTTGAGAGCTGCTGTGCTGCGCGTCGGCGTGAGTTTGATGGAGTTTCAATCGACTTTTTTTCACTTTAGGCTTAGGCATAGGGTTTTGTTTTGTTTTTGCAAATTTCGTATTAAGCTTTTTTTTTTTTTATATTTAAATACGGGTAGCTGCGGGCATTAACCAGCTCACCCGCTTTTTTCACAGGGTGGGCCAGGTATAGGTAATTTTCAAAGGTACCCATACCCACCCGTTTGATGCAGGTACCTGATGACCCGCGGGTGCAGATACCTTTTTGCCAGGTCTAGTTTTCATAGATCCATGGAATTGATGATTACTTAAATCTTCATTCCTTAAAATTTATATTTTTGCCTTGAATATAGTGTTTTTTTTTTTTTTTTTTTGGTATAGAAGCTTTGCCTTGCTTTTATGTCAAAAATTCTAATCTATTTATGTTCTAATATGTTTAAACATTCAGGTGCTGTTTATGGGACTTATGAAGCTCTTAGGTATAAGGTACAGAGTTTGATTTTTCCCCCTTCACATGAGACAAGGTGGAATTTTATGGTGATACTTTCTGCCTTATTTTTTATTTTGTTAAAAGACACTTGTTATGGCATCGTTTTTTTTGTATTTTGTTTTTTTTTTTACTTAGAGTCTTGATAGTAAAACCTAAAAAATGTTTAGTAACAACAGGAGTCACCATTTTTGCGCTTTCAATAGTTTAGTTTGAGTTGTAAAAGCCCCTTGTTTTAATCAACGGGTGAAAGGTTTGAATCCCTTGGGTTTGTACTCAATGACACGTAAGGAAGGTCGAAGGATTTGTGGGTATAAAATAGAAATAGGTTGACTAAGAAAAACCACATATCTTTGAAATCATAAACCAGTTTGATGTTGCCACCAAACCAGTTCGATGTTGCCACCAAACCAGTTCTTATCTTTGCCCACCACAATTGCCACCACTCACCATTAACATCTCCTTTGTCATCTCCAACAACTGTCACCCCTTTGTTACTACCATCCACCCTCAACACTTGCCTAGGATTCAAAAGTTATCATTATCAACACAACAGACCACCTTTAAACCAATGTTGTGACTATCATTCCATCATTCTCATAGTCATCGTCGCTGCCACCGCATCCCAACATCATTATCTTTGCTAAGATGATTACCACTACTGATTGCCAGCTGTCCATTCCACAATGACAGCCATAGTCATGTTATCACTATCATCCTTTTAATAATACTAATAGCATATTCTGATCACTACCTATTGCTGCTTCTCAATTACCATGGCTACCATATCTTCTCTAGTTAACATATTTTGTAGTCAACGGTTCAGTAACTCTGACAGAGCATTGACTTGCTAATACCTTCTAAAATTTAATAACAATTATTCTTATTTGGACATATTACATTATCCTTGAGTTAATTTTAAAATAATGGCCCAAAGTTGTCCACAAAATTAATTACCAGGAACTGTTGCACATTTTAAAAAAGTATTATCAGGAAATTGTAAGACTGCATTTTGGTGTAAATATATATATATATATATATATATATTAAAATTTATCTCCTGTTCTAAGTTTAGATGTTGAACTTAATTTCTGCAGGTTCCAGGACTACTAAAGATCAGATATATTGAGCAAACTACCTTAGGGAGTGCAGCAATTTTTGGTCTTTTCTTGGGTGCTGGTAGCTTGATACATTGTGGGAAGTCTTACTAACTTCACTCTTGTTTTGTGCATTGAGATTGTGTTATTTGTGTTATCATACGTGCCTTAATGCTTAGTTATATATTAATTCCATGTGCTGTAGATGAGGAATTCTGCACCTTTATGTTTGTTTGTTTTTAATTGTTTAATGAATTTTGACTGAAATTGATGGTATTTATATTTAGAAAAATGTTATCCTTACAAAGACTTATACAAAGAAGGTTACAAAGTGAAGAAAAAACGGAAAAAGAGAGAGAGAGAGAGAAATCATGAAGATCAAGGATAGCAATTGTCTTTGTATGCTCCTTTTGTATTTGTCTTTGTAAGACTAGCATTTATCTTATATTTATGTTGGAAGAAGTGGCCTTAAAAATAGTAATAGTAATGATATATAACTTTTGCTTGATAAGATTAGCAATGGTGTTCAGATTTAATGTCAATTGATGAAGAGCTTGTGCAGTAATTTTTGAGGAGGTTCAATGACAAGTATTGCAGTGAAGTGGCTTAAAAAATAATTATATATTCGTTCTGTAGTGATATGCTTTGTTGAACTAAATTATTTTTCTCAATTAGCGTTGCGGAACTTGACTCGTTTTCCTTTTAAGGCAATCTCCAACACAGACAAAAGGCTTGGTTAAACAATCAGCACATAAGCTACCGCATATCAGGCTTCACCAACGTGGACCCTCCTTTGCTTTCTTCGTATTCTTCAAAATCATGTTTTTTAGCTTGCCAAAGGCATTCATGTCTGGCTTACGATAGATGATGTACTTCTTTTGAATCTGATATTATTCACTTAAGCTAAGACTTCTTTTGAATCTGATATTGTTCACTTAAGCTAAGATGTACCATAAAAAGTCGGACATGAGTGAGAAGCTCTCCACCTTTTGCAAGCTGTTGATCGTGCTCTGTCCGTTCACAATTATTTGCAGCATATGCCTAAACTTCAGTGATCATATCCCATTTTTCTCTCTTATGCCAACCATTTCGGCTCCCTGGTAATTTTAATTGCTTGGCGAGTTTACACTTTACATGCATAGAATAACACCGACTGACACTTACCTCCTTTCACTTCTTCGAATGAGATTTTTTCCACCTCCACTTCAAATACACTTGCGCAAGCCTCCCTTCTGTTTTCTGGTAGCTCAAAGTTGGAATGCCAATACTGCCCGTAGTTGCAAAATCTCATGGCCTCGGCACAAGTATCTTTGTACCTTATTTCACCAATCTCTTTGGGTAGCATAGATGAACAAATGATTAACTGATATAACATATAATCTGATAAGCATTTGCTGATTTTTGATTTTGGGTGGGGATTGTTATCATGGAAATCATCATAGAAACACAGATCAGTAGCAATATGCCAAAGTAGGAGGCTGTGATCGAATTCTCTGTCGATAGTGCTCCAGAAAAAAATCATCACCAAGTTTGTATTTTTCTTTAAGGACATAATCACCACTATGTGCTAACAATTCCTTACATTTCTTGATGTTAAAAGATTCACCTTCAATTTTTCTACCTTTCTCTTGGAGCTGGTTGAAGATGATTGTCTTGCAACTCAAAGCTGACAGTAGTGGTAGTTCTCTAACAGCTCCCTGATGCAAAGTATTCTCTCAACTTTATTACATTTGACTGGCATGTCTTTCAGGCAAAAACTCATTAGGTTGTATTGAGCCATGGATCCCGACCATTTCTTGGATTTGGTTGAATCTGAATCAGAAGAAACTTTAGCATAACAAAGTAAACAGTGCGAATAAACTTCTAGAACGATAGCCCAAATTAACAATAAATAAGTAATGGAGATATCAATTACTGAGTAGGCATGCTTATCAATGGTGGTTGAGAAAACAACTAATGCAGCACTTAAGAGAAAAAAAGTTGATGCAGCAGAAGAAGACTCCCAATCCAGATTTGATCAGGGCGGCTTTGGTGTAGAGCCTAATGTACAAGAACTGAAGCTCAATTGAGACCAACTGAAAGGCATCTTTTGCTAATTTGTTGTTAATAAGGGAATAGCTTTGTACCCGCTCATGATAACCAAGAATTAGATCTGCAAAGAGATATTTTAATATCTTGAACAAAAAATGTGCTTCATCGGAACAATCGTCATTTTCAGGAATGGGGGCATCTGGTTGAATGGCTGTTGATTGCTCTTCCACTTCCGAATGCCTTTCATTAGTTCTTGATAAATTTATGCTTTGAACGACATCCGGACCAGGATCAGGAGCCGACAATAAGGACTCTTTCAACTTATTGGTGCTTGAAGACCTAAGTACCCAAATCCTTTCTTCATACTTGATAATTCCCGAGATCAACATTGGAGTCGCTAAGATACTAAGGGCAATATTTTTGCTCCAAGACGAAATAATGACATATAATGCAAATCCAACTTAGAGCAACAAATTCAAGAAAGCGTCCTGACCACAACTTATTATCTTCTAAGGAGTAAGCTGTGACAGTGTCTGGTCCACCTAAGTGCATGAGAAGGAATGGTGCCCAAAACGCCTCAAGTGCATATTCATGTTCCATATTTCTTAGGCTTCAAGCAAGGATGCCGAGGGCAGCAGTTGCCACTGCGTTTGCTAACATGTATGCGGACCAAACAATGAACCTTATCCTTATTCCTTTTGTGTAGTTTCGTTTGGAACCAGATATACTGAGAATGATTCGTGAAAAAAGGCTTAGTAAAACCATTGCTCTAATTTCCCATCCATTCAAATCTTTATTGATAATATCTAGAAGATGCATGACCGCCGTCTTTGCTTAAGATCAAACTTTAAGGCTCCATTTGGTTCATTGTTTGGTAGTTTTTAGAATAATATTTTGAAAAAGGTTAAATTGGGTGGGTATTACGATGTAAAATTTTGAAATTAACATAAATACTCCATATGTTTATTTATTTACTAAACACCCCTATAATAAAATATTCAAAGTTAACAAAAACACCCCCAATCCACTCATAAATACGGACAGCCAGCCACCACTGTCGGAGGGTGGCCGGAGTTGCCGTATTAGCGTATGACCTGTTCGATATTGCCGGTCATGCGCCGATATGGCCTTTTCCGGCCAGATCCACCATGGATCTGGCCGAAAAATGCTAGATTTGCAGCTAGATCTGGCCGCATTTGGTCGTCAACGACGGCCAAAGATACGGCCATCGTTGATGGTCAACAACGATCCTATCTTGGCCGTCATTGACGACTGTCAATAGCCGTAGATCTGGCTGTAGATCTGGCCTTTTCCGGCCAGATCCACCATAGATATGGCCAGAAAATGCTAGATCAGCGCACTATCGGCCAGATTCAGCCGATAGTGCGCCATTACACCAGATTCCGGCCAGTTTTTGATAATGGTGGTCGGAATTTGGTAAATTTGGGTTGTTGGGGTGTTTTTATCAATTTTTTTAAAAAAAAAATTTGAGTTGTTTATTAAATTAACAAATTTAGAAGGTTTAAAAAAAATTGAATAATTTAGAATTGTATTTTGAAAATAGGTGAACCAAACTTAACTTTTTTGGAAAAACTAGAATATGTGAACCAAAAGTTTTAAAAAATAAATTAAAAAAATTAACAGTACTAAGTGAATATTTTAAATGAAGAGATTGATATTGACTACAAATACTGTGCAAACAAAGAAAAAATACGAAAATATTATAAAGCGTTTTTCCTTACAATAATGTCAGGCAAACAAATTAAAGCTCTATGAAGAAGTTTTTAATTACAAAAATATTAATATGAGATAATATATACGTGACATTTATACATATTGAGTCAAGATATTGTAACTTAATTTTTTTTGACACTTTTAGTGAATTGTACATCTTTGTTAATCTAACAATGATAAGAGACGCTGAGTTAGCATTAAATGTAACCATCTTAATCCTTTATCAGTTTATCTTATAACTGTTGAATAACAAAGATAAATGACTCACAAGGAGTGTAAAATCCTTGACTTTGATAAAGAATTATCAAATATATATATATATGAAATTAACTTCTAAATTCCTCAAATATATCAAATTAAATTCTTAATTTTTACAAAAAATAATCCTACAAATACATTTGATAAATTATATATATATTATTTAATTGTACAAAGAACAAAATGAAGAAAATTTGTATATCTTTTCATATATTTTATAAAATAAATATCATTTCTAAAATTCATTTGTCAAATTAAACTACTGTTAATTATTTTATATTTCAATACTTTTTTAAATATATAAGAGCTAGCTTAGAAGCCATTGCCATGACCCCCCACTTAAATAGCAGATACTCATATGGATAATCGAACCTGAGACTTTATGCCTATCCACACTATCCTCAATTCATTTTAACTGTCTAGACTACCCACAGTTGAATCATATCAAAATATTAGAGTTAGGAAAAAAAATAAATATAAAAATATGTATTTGATGCATTATTTTAAGGGTCGAAACATAAAAGTGAAGTTACAACAAAAGTTAATACTTTACTATAAAAGCTAGATAAATCTTAGAATATTTTATTATTACAAATGTTATTATAGTTTAATTTGGAGGTGTTGTTATTTGTGTTGGCTTAGTAACTTGTTTATTAGTAAATTTTCTTAGTTTTATTTTACATTTGTTAAAGTATTATAAATTTATTTCATTCGTCAAACACAATAATAATATATAATTAAAGAGCACTTTAAATAAATACCCATATTTTTGTATAACTTATTCTCAATATATTATTTATTATAAGTTTATTTACAATTGTACTATTAGTTTAATTAACATTTTGACCTCTAAAATAGTTTTTCTATATATATATATATATATATATATATATATATATATAGTTTGCGCAACTTGTGCATGTTATATATTACCATATTATTTATTGAATTTATTTTTATGCATACTATTCCTTTTATATAGCCATTTATGTGCAAGAGTTTATATGTATACAAATTTATATGTATTTTATTATTAAAGAACGAAAAACTGTAATTGTCCCTAGTGCTAGTGAATTTATCAGACAAAAGTG